TTTGTTCAACGATCAGGAAGTGCTTAGGTGATCACTGAGTCAAGGGCTACTTATCTGTCTGATCATATTTTCAGTTAGAGCAAGTAAGTTTCGTGCTCTTTTTCTTAGTTTTTTCCTAATATGTGATCATGCCAAGAATCGGTTCTTGCATGTATTAAGTTGTGTTCTTCTTCAATGCTTAGTTAAATTTAGGTTTTAAGGTCTCTCTTTAATCATCAATCGGTGATTTGTAGGTATTTTTAGAAATTCCTTACAATGCAAGTCGCGATCGAGGTATTTTTCTTGAGCTATGCAAGTTGGATAGAAGTAAGGGAAGCTAGTTAATTTCTTTTAAATGTATGTATGTTGTGTAATTTGATGATATGTGGAGACTAAATTGTTTGGATTTTAATGTTAATTAGTTTTTGTGATAATTTAGGTATTTTGATGAAATTGATGGGTTTTATGATGATGAGTAGTTGAGATGAATGATGAATATGTTCTTACGTGTATTTGAGCTGTTGGATTTCACTATTGAAGTGTTTTGGTGTTGAGTGAATTTGTTAAAAGAAAAGGATAACTTGATGGTAGAGTATTTTGGTCTAGGAATGAGTTCTTGAGGAAGGAAATAGTAAGAAATGGTTGGTGAATTGTTTCTGTGCAGTTGAGATTGAGTATGAGCTGAGTTATGTCTTGTTCTAACATCTAAAATGGTAGAAATCTGAGTTGTGAGTGTATGGTGGTGATAAGGTAGAGTCCTACTTGGTTGGAACTCAATTTGGAGGAAGTGAACTAATGAAAACTTGAGTAAGATGTTCTATGTGCAAATGATCAGTTTGGAGAGTTATAGTAAGTCATTTGGGACTTGTTAGAGTCCTTAAGATGCTTGGAATTGTGTCACAAATGGTAGAATTCAATTTGAGTCTCTAAGTTGAGTTTTTGTAAGTTTTTGGGTGAGATTTTGATTCTACTTGTTTAGATTGAGGTTAGGAGTGTTTAGACAACATTAGTTAAGTATATTTAGGTATATAACACAATCTAGGAGGGTTAGAAGTTGGGAAAAATAGTTGGAATTGGTAAACTTAATATAGGTTGCGTAATTTTGCAGATTTGGTGTTGCAGATCATACAGACTCGTTGAGCGAGTGAAGTCGCTCAACGAGTGGTTTTAGAGGTTGGCTCACTGTTTAGTGATTCACACAGCGAGAAGGTGCGCTGAGGACTGGTTGAGGTCTGGGAGCACTGTGAGTTTTATTCGAATAGCGAATGGGTGCACTTAGCGAGTGTCTAGGGGGTTTGGACCATTGTCTGGACTTTCGCACAGCGAGTTGGGTCGTTGAACGAAGAGATTTGGGGTCTGTTACCATTAGGAGTTTTATTCGCACAACACTTTATAGTCTCTTAGCGAGGGTATGTGTTGAGCGACTGGTTCATGTCTTTGAGTACCCTTTCTTTTCTTGTTCTTGATTGGTTTGAAATATAAATTGAGTTTGTTGGGAATGAAATATGATTATGTATGAGTTGTATGAGCAATAAAGTCATGAGTTAAGATTCAAAGTATGGTTTCAAAGTGATGAAAGTAAGTTTTAAAGTGAATCCTCTTTGTGAGGTTCAAGTATGTTTAGAATGAATGCAGGAGCTCAGTCTTGGGGGTTATCTTGAAACTCCAATGATCTTTCATTCTCACGTAGAGAGGATTGATCCATGTCGTAAGGAGTAGCAGGAGGTCTTAATCTTGAAGGTTTCCAGTATGCTCCAAGGTCCGGAACAGACTAACCTCGTGAGTGTGGTAGGGTAAAATCCATTGGCAATGACTTTGCAAAGCAGCAGAAGCCACCACGAGTGCACAACCTGCCATAGCTCGGCAATCCTTTTAAGTTCGGACGGTCAAAGTCAGTGCAGTGTCATGCATAAAGTGTTTTTGGTGATGAAATGTCTATGTATGATTGTATGATATGTAGTTGATAAATATTATGTTTGTTCTTTTATTCCAACCAGCTTACCCTGTTTTTTGTGCTTGTATTTTGTATGTGTTGATGTTTTTTCCTTTGCAATGATCATCCTGTAGGTGTGAGCAAAGAGAGATGAGGTGTCCCTAGAGCAGACTTTGGATGGTGGTGATGCGACAACATAGTTTAGTTAGACTAGTATTGTATATAGTTTTGTATTAGAGAGGTTATATAGAGAATTTAAATTTTATGGTTATTTTGAATGACTGTAATTTTATACTTTATACTTTAGTTGGATAACTGTGCTATCTTATCATATCTATGATAACTCTTTATATAGTATTATACTATATTATTGGAACGTTACACAGAGTAAAAGTTCTAATGATATACTTCAAAATTTTAGTCCTCCAAAATTTTAATATATATTTTTTTATGTCGTCATATGTTTGTATAATAGGTGTGTGTAGATATATTTATAAAGTGTTGTGCGTAATGGACGACGCTATTGACTGTGTTTTCCACCATGGAGGGAAGTTCATTAATGATGATATCTTGAAGTTTGAAGGGGAGACAACAACTTTGTCCTTTGACCCTGATATGTGGAGTTATTTTGTGGTTGTTAGTGTAGTGAAAAGTTTTGGATATGATAATTTTAAAATTTATGGTACTATGTAGGAGGGGATTTAATGTTGGAAAATAGGTTGGAACAATTGACTGATGACATCGGTGCCATGCATATGGCTAACTTAGCTAGGCTTAATGGTGAGGTTCATTTATACGTTGTACATGTTGTTTTTGAGCCCGAAGTGATACATATGCTTGAATATATTATTAATGATCAAGGACAAGTTGAAGGTCATTGTGAAGTCCAAAAAGAGGTGCATGAGGGTGAAGAAGATGGTGATGGAGTTGAAGTAGATGGTGAAGGTGATGATGACTTACAAAAGGGGCATGAGGGTGAAGAAGATGGTGATGGTGTTGAAGTAGATGGTGAAGGTGATGGTGACTGACAAGAGGTGCATGAGGGTGAAGAAGATGGTGATGTTGTTGAAGTAAATGGTGAAGGTGATGGTGAAAGTGATGGTGTNGGGCATGAGGGTGAAGAAGATGGTGATGGTGTTGAAGTAGATGGTGAAGGTGATGGTGACTGACAAGAGGTGCATGAGGGTGAAGAAGATGGTGATGTTGTTGAAGTAAATGGTGAAGGTGATGGTGAAAGTGATGGTGTTAAAGTACAAGTTGAAGAAGATATTCATCAAGTTGAAGAAGATGTTCATGGTGTTGAAGATGAAGTTGAAGATGATGGTGATGGTGACTAAGAGCAAGACTTGAATGTGTGAGAAGGAGTTGTGGAGGAGGAAGTTGATCTTTGTAGTTGGAGTACATCTACTGATAAAGGTGATGTACATGGAAATAATGAGTGCTTAGAGGGGCTAGTTGATGTGAGTGTGGAATGTGATATAGATGATGATTTAGATGGTAATATGGAAATAGAAGTAAAAAGTCTTTCTGACAGTTCAGACAACAAGATTGATGATGATGATAGAGGTTTGTCAGATGAGGAGTGGAAATCTGAAAAATTACTTAGTGCAACAGATAGTGATGAAGAGGTTAATGACAATGAAGGTTATAGGAGGTTTGGTACGTTTTGTATGTGAAAAAGTATGGTAGACTTTACATAGGAAGTAGGGACTTTTTTTGCAGAAAAGCAAGATATTTTAGATGCTGTAAAAGGGTATGCCTTGGAAAATGGGAGGAATATAAATTTTGTAAAAAATGACAAAACAAGATTGAGGATGAAGTGCTTTGGTGCAAAATGAGAATGCCCATGGACCATATATTGTGCTTATATGGAGGCTGTGAAATCATGGCAGCTGAGAACTAAAAAAGACATTCATACCTACAGTAGGGAGTTCAACCTCAAGTTACTTGATGCCAAGTGGTTGAGCAAAAAGTTGGAGAAAACAGTAAGGGAAAATCCTAAAATGAAGGGTGTAGATATTCGTGAAAAAGTTCAAAGGAAGTGGAACATAGGTATATCTAGGTGTGTGCCTTATAGAGCCAAAGATATTGCTTCTAATCACATTGTTGGGTCCTTTAAGGAACAATATAAGAGGATATATGATTATGCACATGAGTTGTTGGGAAGAAATCCAGAATCTACAGTTAAGGTTCATGTTGAGGATAATGAGGGTGAAGTAATTTTCAAGAGATTTTATTGTTGTCTAAAGGCATGCAAAGACAATTTTGTCTGTTGTAGGCCAATAATTGGATTAGATGGAGCCTTTTTGAAAGGGAAGTATGGTGGTGAGTTGTTCATAGCTATTGGGAGAGATAGAAATGATCAAATTTTTCCCATTGCATATGCGGTGGTAGAAGTAGAAAACAAAGATTCATGGTCGTGGTTTCTGAATCTTTTGATTCATGATCTTGGTGGTGAAGAAGTATGTTCAGCAATAACTTTTGTGACCAACAAAAGGTAATAGTCATATTTAATTTTGGTATTTTCCTACATTAATTGATTACTTATATATGCTCGTAACTGCTCTTTATTATTTTGAAACCACAAGGTCTACTACGAGCCATACAAGAACTACTCCCTGGTGTTGACTAGAGATTTTGTGAGACACTTATATTTAAATTTTAGGAAGAAATATCCTGGTAAAAATCTGAAACAACTGATGTGCAGGGTAGCTACTGCCACTCACCCTCAAACTTGGGAGAGGGAAATGAGAAGCAGTAAAGATGTCAATGAAGACGCATTCAAGCATTTGATAGTCATCCCTCCAAGGTTTATCTTTTGAATTTCACTCTATCATAGTAATTACCTAGTTGTTCAACATAATTTTTGTACTTATTTACTCTTTCTAATTTATACCACTTATTGTATTAAGTATGTTTCAGGAAAACATAATCCATATTTTGCAAGTCTCTATTAATATATCTTTTGGGCCTAACAGTTGCAATTTGATTAAAAGGATTTGGGTATACTCACTATAAGAGAGGAGGAAGAAAAACCTGAAGGAATTCCACTCTGGAAGTTCCATATCTCCCTGTCATAAATCTCAACTTAGTATTCAACTGGATCAAGGGGCGTATTATGCAGTGTAGTGGATTACTAGCACTATGTTGTGCTTTGGGGTGAACTCAATGAGGCTAGAACACATTTTCCAGTGTTTAAAATTTATATGCATAATTGTGTATGAGTGCATACATAAATTAAATGTTGTTGTTTTGCTTTAAAGTTTAAGATATACTCCGAAATCAGAAGCACAATGGTTCAAACTCAAAGCCCTAACTCACTGCCTTGAGATTGAGCGCCGATTATCATGGAGCTTCCCGATTCCACCGGCAATGACCTCAACCTTAATGCGCCGTTGTCGCAGCCACAACACAACAACAACCACCAAAACGCTCGCTCAGGCCTCAGAGTCGACCTTAACGAGATCCCTTCGCCTTCCTCCTTGTTTGCCGAAACCCTACTGGACTCCGTCACCGTCGTCGTCCGCACTTATCATGAGAACCCCGAGCCGCTGTCGGGAGCCCCCGCTGCCATCCCAAGCAGTAGTCTCGCTCCTTGCGCTGCTTCAGTTTTGGATGACCTAGTTGAAGAGCTTGGGAAAGGGGATTTCGACGTGTCCAAAAATACGACATCGTTCTCAACAAGGAGAGGTTATGTGAACAAAGAGATATTAGGGTTTCCCAATTTGAGGCTGAAGGTTGTGCTGGAAGCGATGAGAATAGCTCTGGAGGTTGTATACAAGCAACATTTCTCGAAGATCTCGCATGGTTGCCGGAGCGGGAGGGGTTGTGCCGCCGCGTTGAGGTACGTGTGCAAAGGTGTTTTAAGTCCTGATTGGTTGTTCACAATGCTTATGGTTAAGAAATTGGATATTGTTTTTTTGGAAAAGCTAATTTCCATAATGGAGGAGAAGATAGAAGATCCTATTTTATATGGTTTCATTCGGAGCATGCTTGATGCTGGAGTGTTAAATCTAGAGTTTGGGGGTTTTCCTAAGGGAAATGGTCTCCCACAAGAAGGGGTTTTGTCATTGAATATTTACCTTGACCTCTTTGACATTGAATTTTGCAGGCTGTCGATGAAATATGAAGGCATATGCGGTAGAGGGCTAAATGAGCGAGACAGGTCTGGCTCCGTGTTGCGCGATTGGTTTAGGAGACAGTTGAATGGAGATGATGTTTGGAAGAGTTCTGGTGTGAAAGTTTACTCTTGTCGCTATATGGATGAGATGTGTTTTGTAGTTTATGGTTCAAGGGGTGTTGCTGTAATTTGAGCATAACAGAGTTTGGGGGTTTTCCAGAGTTATTTGAGCAGTTCTTTGTTGTTGGATGTAGGTGATCAACTGATGAATTGCCTTGTGATGGGTCTCATGGTATCCGATTTTTGGGAACTTTGGTGAGAAGAACAATTAGGGAGAGTCTTGCTGTAAAAGTTGTTCACAAGTTGAAAGAAAAAGTGGAGCTATTCACTCTCTAAAAGGTGGAGATGTGGAATTATGGGACACAGAATTGGGAAGAAATGGTTGGGTCATGGTTTGAAGAAAATTAAGGAATCAGAAATCAAGCATCCTGTGACAAAAACTGAGACTGTTGCTCCTATTAATGTCATAAAGATGTGTCTACTGAGATATAGATATACCCACGGTCTATTAATCTATTTCCTCGGTTCACACAAACGAGGCCAAAAGTCTGGCTAAAAAATAAAGAACACCCTCTACTACCTATGTTGCATTTGAACCGAGGAAAAACATACATTTTTTTACCTCAGTTTAGAACTGAGGCAAAAAGTGGACTTTTTGCCTCGCTTGTATATACCTCGGTTGTAGAACCGCTGCAAATAGACAAAAATAATCGCTGTCGTTTCCCTTTACTGTACTAGTGTATCTTGCAGGGTTTATGCTAATATGACTTTTGTTAATAAAATCTTCACAAATTAACTTTTAAAAGTATTTTTGTTTATAGAGATTTTAAAACCTATCCAAACTTTTAAAAAAGATTTTGGAAAATAATATTTTTAGTTAATAATTTATGATAATTAAATAAGGAATTTTTTTTAAAATATCAAATAAGTTAGTAATAAATAAATTGTTGCCTTCTTGGTAAAAAAGTAGGTTTTGAGTTGTCCATCTTTTTGGAGCGTATAAGTAATGTAAGGGGTGTAAAACATATACTTTCAGAATTTGTTGATTTTGGCCTTTATTTTTGCAGGTGTTTTGTAATTTTTATCAATTCATTTTCATACTTCAAATAACTTAACTTCAGCTACATCAACAAACATTATAATATTTAAAAATAATTTATACAACTAAAAATTAGTTTTTAAGACATTTTTATTTCACTTACAGAAAGAACTTAATCTTAATGATAAGCTTAATGAAAAATCGTCATTTGACTCCTAGGAAGCAAGATAATACTTTGAAGAAATTTATCACTCTCACAAAAGTAAATTCTTAATCATTTCTTGAATTCTTAATATATTCTAAAGTCCTTATATACAATGCAGAGAGAAATTTAAATTTTAAAATCTAAAATGATCAATGGCTTATGTTTCGGGTGTAGTGTCGAGGATTACAATGAGACACTCCTTCACACTTTTCTTCAAGTCTCTTTGCATTGTCTTATGTATCCATAGTTAAATTCATTTTAGATTCTTGATGTTTAAGTTGCAAATCATGTAGACGGATACCTGTCAAAGACACTCTAACGCTCAAGTCAATCATAGTAATGTTTTAAATTCACAATAAATGGAATCACATACCTACTTACCTCAAACTCGTATTTATAGGTTTCGAGATGTACTTGCGATTAGCAAAACCATAATTGTGGCCGAATACTTTGTAAGTATGTTTAGCATGTAAACTTAATTATGTGTTGTACTTAAGGCTTTTTGAGAGTCTGGGATCGATCAGTCGCATATTCGTCTAACTGTTCGATCGAAGGATTATGTTTCAATCTTTCATCCGCAAGTTCTATGGCTAGTCGTGTGTGCATATGGTACAACTTAGATAAGCTTTATTCCTTATTCATATTTTCAATCTCTTTATTGAACCTTGCTCTGGCTGAAATTTTAGTTGTCCCAAGTGTGCTTAGTTGACTTTAGTTTGATCATTGTTTCCATGTCTTCCAATGTCCATAACCCCTAGCTTTATTGATCTAACTAGACACATACAAAATTACCATTTTCACGTATTTTATAAACGAAAAAAATACAATCAAATTAAATTCTAATTATAAAGATAACAATAAAAGTAAACTATGCTCTGCATAAACATTTTTATTTACTTAAAACCAATAAAGATCTTCCCATGCATGCACTCATAAGAAGTATTGCTATATAATAAGGAATCCTTCATTCCTTATCATCTCAATGAGAGTTATTTATTTGGTTTCATCTTTGTCTATCTATAACCAGAAGTGACAAGAAAGAATACTTGGAGTTGTTAGAGATTAAAATGAGATAGTTAAGAATGGATATGTGTACTTAAAAAATTATTCGAGGAAGTTATACCCTTAGAAGATCAAAGATGAAGCTTTAGAAAGTTTTAAGAGCTAGAAGCATATAATGGAGAACCAAAACAATGAAATGATGAAGAGCTTCTTAACAAATGCTATAGTCTTGACTTTTGTTCAAAATTTTTCAACAACTTCTGTAAGTAGAATGACATAGTAAGACATGAGACGATAGGTAAGACTCCTAAAAAAACGAGCAAGAAGGGAGATTCAATAGTACCACCATAGAAATAGGAAAGATGTATATGATGCTGAGTGTTGGAGTCCCAAAGGAACTTTGATTCTTACTTTCAATAGATGACACTTAAATGCCCTTGATATGAAGATGTGGAAAGAAATTTGGTTAGACCATTCCAAAACTTAGTATATGGTATTTTCATCTATCATAGTATATAGTGCATCTAATGTATTTTCATGGAGTCTAAATGTGAAACACATGTTTATTGTGTTATGTGATACACGACATGATTCAAAGAAAGTTTATTATGTATGTTGTAAATGCATATTCCTTATGTAAAACGTGACATTACTTGTTAGATAGAGTTGAAATATTGATTATGTTTGGAGAGAGCATTTACCACATGAAAAATGTAACAGTTGAGTAATTCATTTGAAGAAGAACTTGTAATGTTTGTGACAGAGGCTTCAAGATTTTAAAGAATATGTGTTCTCATGTATTGATACTTTTTAAGAATGTCTTCGAATTCAGTTCCTTATTACTTAAAATAAGGCATCTTTTAACGACCTATTGAGTTTGTTGATATTCAATCTGAACCATTAGGTCCATCAAAATCCTAGACCAGGATATATTGCCTTGAGAGATACAGAACTAGAGCAGAAATTTTCTCAAATTACTTTTGGGGGAAGTGAATACATCTCTAAATTTATTGAGGAAGGTTAGATATAAAACAAAAAGAAATTGTGAACAAAGGAAAATCTGTGTAATTCCTGAATAAAATTTAAGTAAAATATCTGTAGCTATGATATGTTAAAAATAGCCATAAAGAATTAGACATTACTGAATCATTGATCAGATTCACTTCCATGACCTTGAAGCATCTCAACTACTTGGCTCATGGTAGGCCTTGAATCTCTGTCTTCCATTACACAGTTCAAAGCCACTGTTGCCAACATTTCCATCTTACTTCTATCATAATCAGGTCCAATAGCAGGTTCAACTATTTGTTCCACCCAATCTGAGTTGGTGTTGCTTCTTTTTTCTCTCACCCATGCCACTAGCCTCCCATCATATGTCTCTCCACCATCAATTTCTTGGACACTTGTGCTTTTTCCAGTTACCAGTTCCAAAACAACAATTCCATAACTATAAACATCCACCTTGGATGTGATTGGCAAGTTAAGAACCCACTCTGGTGCCATATACCCTCTGGTCCCTCTGATCATAGAGATGCTTGGATTGTTGGGGTTGTTTCTGTTGAGGAGCTTCGACAAGCCAAAGTCTGCTAACTTTGGCTCATAATTGGAATCTAAAAGTATATTTTGTGGCTTTATATCACAGTGCAAAATCCACTCCAAGCATTCTTCATGCAGATATGCTAGAACTCTTGCAGTTCCAATTGCAATGTTGTATCTCATACTCCAATCAAGGGAGTTGGATGAAAGATTTTGTGCCAAAGAACCATTCTCCATATACTCATACACCAACAACCTATGCTTTCCCTCAGCACAATATCCCCACATTTCAATCAAGTTCATGTGGTTAAGCTTTCCAATGAGGCTCACTTCAGCAAGGAATTCTCCTTCTCCTTGTTTAGCTTCATTCAGTCTCTTAATTGCTGCATGTCTTTCATCTGATAAAATACCTTCGTACACAACCCCTCCCCCACCTCTTCCAATCTCCTTACTGAACCCCTTTGTAGCCTTTTTCAACTCGGAGTAGCTAAATTTTCTGAATCCCGTTGCTGTAAGATGGTACCCCTTTTGATCTGCATTAGACTTTCGGTTGGTTCTAATTAGGAAGCACCAAATCACGAAAGCACAAACCATTTCAAAAGCTCCAAGTGCGGAAGCAAACCACAGAAAAACAATCACAATACGGCTTCCGTGTGACTTTACATAATCTCTTTGAAGTTGAACTGAACAAACTCGAAGAACATGTGCACTGTCAGTAGAAGATTCTTTCACAGAGAACGTATAACCTTTGGTCACTCTCAAGTATGTTGTTCCTGTGAATCTGGGTAAACGCCTTCCGTTGAGCAATTGTGTTTTGGTATAACACTTGAAGGCTATGCCCTTTTTGTCAGTATAGGAGTGCTGAAACCCTACACAACTACAATTTTGCAAGCACAGTTTCTCACAAGCCGTAAAATTACTAACTTCTACATAATAAAAATCATACCCGTAAAATTCCACACCCTGCATCTCCAAGAAGGTAGACTCATTCTGATCGCAGGTGAGATCAAACATGGGCTTACACCCATGAGACCAATCACTGAGGTTGTTCCATCTGTACCCTGGAAGACACTCACACTTTTTCCCCCTCTCGTGATCATAAGCACACGTGCTGTTGGCTCCACAAACCCCATGAATCTGGCAGCCATTAGTAATTGCTTGCCACGAAACATACCACTTCTCTAACACACTATTTCGACTATACACTCGGAAATTACCATCAGGGTCCAGTTTCAACCTTCTCTGCAGCATGGTTCCATAATCTGATGTTACAGAAGTGAAGTTATCTGAGGAATGAAAGACCCCAAAAGAATTCAACACAGCAATTCTACTGCTATTGAATAAAGTTCTACCAACATCCCAACTTACACGATAGGGACTAGGCCAGTAGGAGCTTGAAACATCAGGGCCATCATATAGAAGACGAAGAATGTTATCATCGCCGAAATACAGCTTGTAGAAACCAGATGAATGGTTAGTGTGGCTTCTTGAAGACAAAAGATGTGTGTATCTGGTAAGAGGCTGACCAGGAACGAGAGTGTCGGTCGGAAAATCGAAACTTTGCCACAGAACGGTTCCTTGAAGCTGGCGTAACACTAGATTACCGTCGTCTCTGAGATGCAACTCTACTGGGTCTAACGAATCGGTGTTTGAAGACCAAGCAGTGTTGTAAGAAGCATCAACTAAGACAACGTTGCCATCGTTTGTGAGGGAAATTTTGGAGCGTTTTCCATTGACAGGTTGATCACGGTTTGCCATCCATGTGACAGTGCTGGGGCTGTGAAAATGAGGCTCTGTGAACCATATTGCAAATGAATATGCGTTCTCACCAACGGCTATAAAGCCTGCAGAAAAGATGGCGTTTGGTGAGATGAGAATATGGTGTGGATTTTCCACAGAGAGGGAAGAACCCATTCTCAAGGATGATGAAGAAGATGAACGCTGGAAATACATTAATGGTAGAAGAAGGAGTGTGATTGACAAAGCCTTAGTCATATTCAATGCAAGTTATTCAGTGTAGTTGTTGAACTACTGTAAAACAAGACACATGCTAATATATAGACAGTTTCACGTCTAAAATGATTGTTCATTAGATTCACACACACTTTTTTTATATTGATTTGATATATATATATATATATATATATATATTTTATCTTTTCAAAAGTACAAAAAATTTATTTTTCTAATAACTATTTTAATTGTATATTATATGTCAAATAAATATAAACATGTATTATTTTACCACTAAAAGAATAAGATAAATATTTAGTTAATTAAAGTATTTGTTAGTTTCTTTAATATTAATTACAAATTAATCTTAATGTTCATGAGCCAATTTTTTAAAATTAAATAAGTGTTTAATTATTTCAATCGTTCGAATAAAAGTAATTGAATTAAATTTTAAATTTTTTATTATTGGTAAATTTTCTTATAAGAGTGATATTTATGATACTGGTTAATTTTTGTATAAGTATGATTAGATTAAGTTAACTAAAAAAAATATTAGTTTAAATAAAATTTGATTTTTGTCAATAAATTGTATTAGGATAAATTTTAAAAATATAAATCACTTTTTAATTTCATAAATTTAAATAAAAATATACATCTATAAAATTAAATTTTAAACAATATTTTAATTATTACTATTCTTTAATAAGAAACTAAAATAGGCCATCAGTATAAAAAGTAGTAATCTAAACTAAATGGATCAATATTAGTCCATATATGTTTAGCTTATTTTTAATTAGATTAATAAGTTTCACTGCTTTTAGACTGACTAATTTTTAATTATAACTATAATTATAATTTTGAAAAGTTGAACATAATACGGTTTTATTTAACTTTAGTTCTTTCATAATTAGACTTAATATCATTTGATTAAATTCTAAATTGTCAACCGTCCATACAATAAAATAGCTACCCTGCATGCTAGTGCATTACCTTAAATAATTATGAAGATGATGAAAATGTAGACTTTCGAAATTATTGAAGCCACGTAACTTTGAAGAATGACTTATCTTATTTTTAATTAATGACTTTTCATTAGCAACTAAATAGAGAAAACAAACATTGCCTTTATTGTTCCCTCAGTTGCACGTTGCGAATAGTTGAAAACAGAGATTTCTTTTGAGATCAAATTGTATAAATTCCGTTGTATTTTCTGTAGTAGAAATATAGAGAAAAGGATAATTAATAAAGAAGAAAAAAAGGTTAAGGGCACGTTTGGAACAGTAAAGACAATGTGACATGCAGAATTTCGTGACATTCGATTTACATAAGTTACGTAACAAGAATAATAATCTTTTATATATAATTTACGATTGGAGACACAAGTAACTATATTTATTCTTTTAAGGATAAAAAATTATAAAAGTTTATGTTCAAATTTATTGGAATTAAAAATATATTTAATTTTATTTTTAAATATAGAAGTTTCAGAAAAAAAAAACTTTAATGTTTAACTTGACATAATTTATAGGATATTATGCTTCTTCTTGATAAAAAAATATGTGTATTGATCTAAGTTTTATAAGCAAATATATCTCATATTTCATTATTGATATACATACTATGTTTATTTTATGTTTATGTGTATCAATAATGAAATATGACTGAATCATTATAGACTTATTCAGAATATATAGTTTTATTTAGATTTCTTTCTTTACCAATTTTAGTTTGTCCTTTTCAAATTCCTATGAGTTTATTCTTATAGTTTTCTCTTTCATAAAAATCTTTGTAAGTGTTTTTTGGATTGGTGAATCTTTCACATGAAAGTAAGTACTCTTAATTTGAGTTTTAAGGCAATTTTAGTACACATTTTAGTGATCTTTACATTTTTCAAATCTTTTTGCATCTTTTAGATAAAATACTGAATATAGTTTGAGTGAAAACACTTATGAGAGGAAATAGGAATTTTCTTTTACTAGTTGTTTTCTATTTTGTCGTTTTGTGTGATGTTTGTTAGGATATCTATAAGTCCTCCAAGAAGCAATAGTAAAGAAGATAGTGTGAATATGGAAAGGGAACAAACTTTAATTAACAACTCTAAGTTGCGATGGAATACCAAAGAAGTAAATTCCTAAACTTCAAAAGAAAAAAATACTACAACAAAATTGTTTATTCGAAGAGAAAATTAGTGAAGAAAAATATTTCTCACTAATTTCTTGTTATCTAAAAGTTAATTTACTATGATTAAAGATAAGTCATTTTGTTGTTATTTCTTCACAAAATTAAAATTTATTTAGTTAGGAAAATAGTGTGTCGCTAATTCGTAAGTAACAAATAAATTTTTTATTTATAATTAATATAACATTTTTTATTTGGCAAGGAAAAAATATCCAGCTATTCTCATAGTAATTTATTTATTTTTATTTAATTAATAAACTATTAATAGAGATGTGAAATCAGATCCAACTTATGGGATTAGTCCACCAACATATTAAAATTGAGTGAATTGGATTACATGTTTCAACAAGTTGGTTTTTTCATTCTATTCATTTGCTAATCTTGAATTTCATCAGCGAATTTGGGGGGGTTGGGATAATTTGTTGAGATGATTTTGCAAATTGGGGGTTTACGAATTTAGGGATTTCATTGTCTATTTTTCGCAGGTTCTCATGTATTATTCTTTTCCTTCTTATTAGGTGTGAAAGCTATAATTTTGTAAGGGATGTTTCATTCTGCAACTGCAATATAAGATTTCATTATGGACTTTTGAATCTTTCCAAAAATTCCTTTTTTTTTCTTCTCTTTTTTTATTAAAGTTATTATGAACCCTTACAACGGGGATTTTGAAATCTATTTAACAAATCTTTTAAAATTTTGTTTTTAAATTTAAAATTTTAATATTATTTAATATATATTCATATTTTAATAATTACTAAAATATAATTTCTATTATTATAATAGTTATATTAAAAAAAACAAATAAAAATTAAAATAACTAAATTAAAAGTAGTAATAATAAAAAAGCAAAAAAAAAGACAAAAATAAATAGAAAAATAATAATACAAAATATCATTTAATATATTTAAATATATTAAAATATTAAATTGAATTAAAATTTAAATAAAAATCTAAATTTTTAAAAAAATTGTTCACCGAAATTTGTTAACGATGTGTTATCAAAGTGTTTTATTTTTTTTAAATTTAAAATTTAATAATAATTTAGTTTAATTTAAAATTTTAATATTATTTAATATATATTCATAATTTAATAATTATTAAAATATAATTTAAATTATTATAATAGTTATAATAAAGATAAAAATAATTAAAATTAAAGTAGTAATAATGAAAGTAAAAAAATAATAATATAAAATATGATTTAATATATTTAAATATATTAAATTATATTTAAACATTAAATTAAAATAAATAATTATTAAATTTTATAAAAAACAAAATTTTAAAAAAAAATTGTTAAACGGATTAATATACGTTAACGCGTTTAACAATTTTTTTTAAATTTTTGTTTAAAATTTAAAATTTAATAATAATCAAATTTAATTTAAAATTTTGTTATTATTTAATATATACTTATATTTTAATAATTATTAAAATATAATTTTTATTATTATAACAAAAATATTATAAAAATAAATATAAAAATAAAAATAATTAAGATAAAAGTAATAATAATAGAAATAAAAGAACAAAAATAATAAAAATAAAAAGAAAAACAATAGTGTAAGGGCCTGAAAAATATAGGGCTTTTGGGCCTTAGGATTGGGGCAGTCAGGCCCGTAAAACTAAGGACACCATCACCTTAGAAGGGGCTTTTCCCAATCTGAGTTCAATAGCCAACTTTTCCTTCTATCTCTAACCTGTGTTTTTCTTCTTCTTGCTCTACCTTCTCTCTACCCATTCACAAATTTCAACAGTTGCATTGTCAAATAGGTGGTCTTCTTTTGTTCACGGAGTTGAGAGCTTCCCATCCATCCGATTAGTTTCTGCTTTGGACGGGTAAGTTAGTTTCTCCATCTCTCTTGAACCTAGGGCATGCAACTTTACTGGTTGCATGCAGCTAGTAGTCTTCCTCTTTTAATTCTCTGCCTATTATAGGGTCTTACTGTGTGTTGGCTGTGTAAGGCATTGTTGGGGTTTTGCTACTATTCTGAGTAGTATTATGCTTATAACCACCAAGGTAAGGGGAGCTAATTGTTTTCTCGAAATTATTTCTTGAATCTGCTTTGTAAATGAATGCATGTTGACTGCTGCACTAATGTGTTGTTGGATTGTATTTTATATTTTAAGCATGTTGGATGTTACGAACTTAGATGTGTGGTTGATGAGACTGTAGTGGTTTGTTTGGGAATCCTTTTGGATGAACGAAAGGGGCTGTAAATAGAACATGTAGGGAGGGAATAGGGTGAGATTTCTGCTTAGTGTCAATTTGGTTAACAGGTTCAACAGTTAGGTAGAAGGTTTAGGTTAGTTCAAGGGAAGTGATGTACTGAAATTGGGCATTTAGGGTCTAGAGCACAATAAGACAATTTGGGCAACTTAGATGGGTTAAATGCAACTTGTTAAGTACATAAGGAAGGTCTAAAACATGTTAAAAATAGTAGAATGGATCTTAGGTCATTAGGTTGTTGATTTAAATGTTCTAGAGAGTGAAGTGTGTTTTGATCACTTGAAAATCATTAGAGGAATGTTAGGAATCACATAGACAAGCTTAATTGGGACATAATCACGATCTAGAGGACTTAGAAAATGGGAAAGAGGACTAGAATTGGTCTAGAGGGTGTAAGGGGGCATAATCTGCAGAATTGGGCGTTCTGCAGACTATGCAGAGTCACTAGGCGAGTTGTCTCGCACAGCGAGACCCTGTAGAGGGTGCTCACTGTTTGAGTCATTCGCTGTGCGAGCTGGTGCGCTGTGCGAATGACCAGAGGGTATTGCCCTCTGTTTGTGGATTCACCTAGCGAATCCTGTCGCTATGTGACTGGTGGTGGTCTAGAACCACTGCCCATTTAATTCGAAAGGCGAGTGGGGCGCATGGCGAGTGGGGCACATGGCGAGAGTTTTAGGGGGATTGGTCTTTGTCTGGGTTCTCGTAGAACGACCTGGGTGCGTTATGCGAGGGACCCAAAGTCTGACATTTATTTAGACTTAATTCGCAAGGTGAGCTGGGTAGGTGTGCTATGCGAATAACGCGAGTTTCGCCTCGTGAGGGTGGTACGCTGTGCGAAACGTTTAGGGTTTTACTCTCTACTTTCCCTTTTATATTGTTTCACTTAGAGTTGAATGTTGTATGGTGTGTGAAGTATGTGTTGAAGCAAATTATATTGTATGTTGGGATTCAAACATGTTGTATATTGTTAAAGTGGAAATTTGAGTGATTCAATGGTATGATTGGTGATTCAAAGTACGTGGTTTTAAAAGTATGGTTGATGGACGTAATTCCATGAACGTCAAGGAGAAGATCCATGGTGGTGCCCTTATTTGTTTAGAATGAAAGTAGGAGCTCAGTCTTGGGGGCTTCCAGTATGCCTCAAGGCCCGGAACGGGCTAACGTCGTGAGTGTGGTAGGGTGGGGAAACCCAAGTTTCATAAGCCACCACGAGTGCAAGACCCGTCATAGCTCGACTATCATTCTAAAGTCTTGACGACTCAAGTCTAGTATTCAACATGTTAGGATGTGTGTTTACCTTGCTTGATTGAAGTTAACTCTTGCATGCATATTGTCATATTGTATGCTTTTTATATAATTAGCTCACCCTTGCTTGTTTGTGTTGTTTGTGTATGATTCCTTTTGCGATGATCATCCACTTGGATGGGAGCAGATGGTGAGGAAGTTTCTTTGGAGACAACTTTGGAGGAAGACGACAATGCTCCAATTTAGGCTTCCTAGGGGTTCCTTAGTCATTTGATGATATTTTGAAATACTTTTCCTCTTTAAGTTTACAGTTTAGACCTCTTTTGTTAAAGTTTAAATTCTAAAGCTATATTTTAAAAATGACTGTAATCCTAATACTCGGCTATATGTTTCCAACTGCTTTCTATTATTATAATATGGTGACGTCTTTATAATATACACACGTCATATATTTTGAGATGTCACAAATAGTATAAAATTTGATTTGATATATTTCAATATATTAAATTATATTAGAATTTTAAATTAAATTAAATATTTATTTTATTTTAAATAAAAAATGAAATTTCAAAAATATTTGTTAAATGGATTTGGATATCTGTTTAACAAATTGTTTTAAAATTTATTTTTAAATTTAAAATTTAATGAAAATCTTGTTTAATTTAAAATTTTGATATTATTTAATATATATTCATACTTTAATAATTATTAAAGTATTATTTTTATTATTATAATAATTATATTAAAAAAATAAAATTTTAAAAAATAATTAAAATAATAGTAGTAATAATAGAAATAAAAAAACATAAATAATAATTATAATAATAATATAAAATTTAATTTAATATATTTAAATATATTAAATTATATAAAATTATTAAATTAAATAAAATATTTATTAGTTTTTAAAATAAAAAAATTTGTTAAATGAATTTCGAAATCTGTTACCATATATTAAGGGATTAAATCCGATTAAAACTTTATTTTTAAAATTTGATATTTTAAGAGAAATCGGAAATCCAGTCTGAAAGTCTTGAAAAGGTAAAGAATGAAACGCTTTATGTAATTGGGTAATGAAGCTGTTAGATGAAAAATGTTATTGATCGTTATACTATAGCAACATTTTCCTTCTTTTGTTTTGATTATTTGCTGGTAATTGTTGGTGAAATGCGTGACCCTGGGTTCTAATAAAATTCTATTTCCACTACAAATCAATAAAAATCATTGACCCACAAAGAAGAAACCCAAAATTACCCATAAAAAATGTCAAAATTGGCAGCTCAGTCTATCTCAGAACCAGCCAGGTTGCTTCACTCAACCCGCAACATCCAATCGAATTATCCAATCTGACCCGTTTTCGATAGATCAAAATCAGTTGGATTGACTATTTTTATCGTTTCTAACTATTAATATTATAGTAAATTATGAAAATATATTTTACTGCTATATAAATTGATAACTTTTTAATTTATGAATTATATTTATTAGATAATTTTTTAAATAATGAATAACATTTAACGAACACAATAGATTAGTTTCGCATTTAAATGCTATAAAAAATATTAAAATTATCTTCATTAGTTATATTTAAAATCAAATGATTAATTATTTGTTTTACTGTTTATTATCTCTCGAGCTATTTTTATATGTTAATTTACATCTATCACCTGCAATTTTTTTCTGCAAAATTTTATCTATAAAACCTACATAGGAATTTTATTTTAAAATGTTTTTGGTAAAAAAAGATTCATGAAATTTTTTTATAATTATATTTTGCAAGAAGTATCTATAAATTGTTTTATAAAAAAATATTTTTAAATAATTAGTAATATTATACTATAAAATGTTTGTTAATTTGTAGTGGTTTATTTTTAGGACTTAAAGTAAACTGCCATAAAAAATATTAATTTTTTATAGAAAATTTTAATCGCTACTATTCTTTTAATTAAAAATTATTATACTGCATAAAATTTTGTATTTATAAATCTCTAATCACTATATGCTTTCAAATCCCAATTGTCGTTTCGTCTCACCTTTTACTCTGTTGTCACTCTCATCCCCACAGCCACCGCCTCCTTCTCTGCACCCTCCGCCTCTTCGTCACTACCATCTCTGTCTATCATGCCTTCTCCCTTTCTCTCAATTCGGTTCCTCTTTCTTGTCATTGGCCACATGTTTTGTCCATTGACTAGAGCGGAGGATTCTTGTTAGTAGCATTGTTTGCAACACGAGAGTCAAGGTTTCGTTTCTCTTCTACGGCTCTTTTTTGAAATCTCTATTGTCTACGTTAGAATGTTGTATCTTTATGTGATATATATTTGATTATATTGGATTGGATTAGGGTTTTCCTATGCTAAATTTTATTATGCTGGACATAACAACACATTAATTTGGGTATCTTATGATGCTATGTACATATTTATAATTTAAAGTTATCTCTTCAATGGTGGATATGGTACCAAACTTATTGTTTTCCAATAACCTGGTATTATACTAATACAATTCTACTTTAATAAGATTTTTACATTGGCCTTTTCAACTCATATTTTGTTTTTTTTTTCTGTATTTATATTTTATCTGTTTCATTTGCTAGATTTTGTGATTGTATGCAATTTTTCTGCATGGAACATAGAGAAAGATAAATATTGTTTTTCCTGTCTGAACAAGCAATTTTGATGTCAGGAAATGTTCAACAATTTTGGTGACTTGTTCTGTACCATCACGGGGTTTGACTCCTTCTCCTTGCAACCGAATGTTGGTGCTGCTGGAGAATATGTTGGACTTATGGTTATCCGTGCATATCATCTGGTATGGACCATACTTGGATTATTATGATAATTTATTAGGAAATTTATGGTTATTCTGATTTACTCTTAGGATATAAGTATTTATGTGATTACTATTGAATGTAACATTGTATTTTCATTTCAACCAAATTGTACATAATCTTAGTTATGTCATTTTCTATTGCTAAGTATTTAAAAGAGATGCAATGATTTCCCTACATTATCATATCCAATAAATGTTCTTAAATACCTGTGATGGTTCTTATATACTTCTTTTTGGCCATTGGAAACTGTAGGCAAGAGGTGACCATTACAGCAATGTTTGCATTATACTTGTCTGGGCATATGGTACAAGGTGCAAGCGCTGCAATGTGTGGAATGAAAATTGTCTCCCTTGAACTGATGCCAAGGGAAACATTAATATAGAAGAGTTGAAGAAGGCTGCTGAAAAACACAAGGACAACTTATCTGCAGTTATGGTACAACTGCAGTTAATTGAGGTATTGTCAAACCTAAGCATTGTTTACATTAGTTTGATCTTGATTTAATTGCAGGAGAAACATCAATTTGGCTACCCATGGCCACCCAAACTCTAAAATCTAGATAACTAGATATAGAAGAACAATTTTTGAAAAGTTAAGCATATCTTTTCCCGTGGATATCTTTTCAATATTCAATAACATCTAATATCTTTCATTTATTGCATTGTTTCAGTAATGGCTTCTTGGTTACCGTGTAATGAGATGATGCTCATTTGCTTTATTGACGTTTGCTTGGTTGATTTTGATGCAATATATGTTGACAATATTTATGAAAAAAATTTCTTGAGGTGTGTAGATTACTGTCTTTAAAGATTTATTTGTGGTGTGTTATATTTATTTGTGGTGTGTTATATTAATCCCTCAAAATACAGTAGGAACCTTTTGAAAATCTTGAGGATATAGAACTAGCAAGTAATCTATTTTTGGAAGAGTAAGAATACTCAGAATATTATAAAGGAAGATATAATAAATAAGGAAGTGAGAGAGAAGAAAAGAAAGAGTGGAAGAATGCTGAGTGAGAGAGAGCTTGTCAGGAATTTTTCCTTCGTCAAATGGTGAAGGCACACACTCTATTTATAGAGTTTGGAGAGTACAAGAGAAAAGCCCAAGACCTAAAAGAGCGGGAGAATCCAGAAATTGCAGCTGGTGAGAAAGGCGTCAACAAACGAATTTGTGGAATCCAATCCTGATCCTTGCGACCGGTGAGAATGACCTTGGGAGAGAGTTGTTCATCGCGCAACGTCCACCCGTTGCTTTCAAAAAGTTGGTTTTGCAATACAATTATTATAACAATCCCCCACATATCGCAAAAGAAACAAAACGAAAGATATAGAGAATAAATTTCCTAGGTTTCATAAGATATAATAGTGCATCAGAGTTGGTATATGAACCAGTCCTAGATCGAGAAATTTAACACGCAATGTAGTTGGTATAGCAAGTTATATGAACCAAAGACACTTGAGTGTGTTAAATGTTTATCAATCACAATACATTACCACAATCTTTGCTCGTTATGATTCACTTACTAGGTCATGTACGTGCCACATATTCATGAGTGCTTTAGAGATCATGCCAAAATCTTATTCAAGCAACCCAACTTGACACTCATATAGATGATTTCATCAATTGTATAATGCAAATCATACACCACCTGTAAAGGATATGAAAATAAAAAAAAAACTTTGTTTAAACTAAAATTCTTTCGCCACATAGAATTTCAATTACAAAGTCTAACCTCTCAATAATGCAATCTCTAGCACTTTCATACACGCCATAGGAATGGACATAATTGATTAAATCAATTTAGTGCTATCAGAACTAATAAGTGACTTTTTTTTATCCATATGAACCTTATTCATGGGATCTCTAATCACTAAGGTTGGTTACCATAACTTGTTTGTTTGTTAGTTGCTTAAGTCTTTTTCTCCTCGATGTTTTTAAGAACATATTTCTTTCCAAGAGTTTTGTTAAAGGATCTGTTAGATTCCCTTATGACTTCACATAATCAATGAAAATAGTTCCACTTTTTAGCAGTTGTTTCACCAAATTGTGTCTTAATTGTATACCTCTATTCTTTCCATTGTAATTCTTGTTTTTAGCTATAGTTATTGCCGATTGGCACAATGTATTGACACCAATGGGGTTGATTTCATTCCTAGTGAAATGTTCGTTAAGAAGGTTTTCAACCACTCAGTCTCACTACTAGCCACGTTAAGAGCGAAAAACTTAGATTCGATTATTGATCTCGCAACAAATGTTTGCCTGATGAATCTCCATGTAATCGCACCACCCCCAAGTGTGAATGCATAACCACTAGTGGATTTTGTCTGATATGAATCAGAGATCCAATTAGCATCACTATAGCTACAACTATAGCTATAACCCCAAATTATGTCTTAATTGTATACGTCTATTATTTTCGTTGTAATTTTTGTTTTTAGCTATAGTTATTGCCGATTGACACAATGTATTGACACCAATGTGGCTGAGATTATCTGGGCATACTGAGGCTGAGATATATATTCTCCTATATTTATCATTAATTTAAAGTTAGCATCATAAGAGGTACTTATAGATTTGAAGTCATAATAACCAAACCTCTTAAGAAGTTTCTTAATGCATTATTCTTGGGATAGTAATATACTATCTTCATTCCTTGTGATTTTAGCACCTAAAATTACATTGGCTCCATCCATGTCTTTCATTTTAAAGTTCGATCGTAGAAACAATTTAGTTTTAGCGACAATTTCATTGCATGTATCAAAAATTAACATGTCATCCACATATAAGCATATAATGACACGATCATCATTTTTAGATTTAGAATGCACACATTTATCAACATGACTAGGTGAAAATTCATCACATAGCAATACATTATTAAATTTTTCATGTCATTGTTTTTGTGCTTGTTTCATCACATAACAATACAACGGACGACAGTCGATAGTGGCCGGTGGCGACCGGCGACGGGCGGCGGTGGACTATGGCGCCGGACAGATGCTACGAGATAGAAACCAGGACGGGATCGACCCGCTCTGATACCAACTTGAGAATTAAACTCTAAAATAATTTTAGAGGGTTTGATTGAACCTTCTCATAATCTTCTATTTATAAGAATAAATTGATATAAGAGTACATGATAAATAGGGTAACTCTAAACATAATATAATCATGATAAATAGAGTAACCCTTGACACAATATAATCATGATAAATAGCTTAACCCTTAACACAATATAATGATGATAAAATAGGATAAATATCCTAACACACCTTTCAGGTTGAGTCATATAAATTTTCTTCACTAAATCACCATTCAAAAAAGCTGTTTTAACATCCATTTGGTGTATCACTAGCTTATGGATAACTACTAAGGTTAACAACACTCATATAAAGGAAATCCTAGTCATAAGGGAAAAACCCACCCTTGGTTGTAGTTACCTGGGTGGCCTTGATTACCCATAAAGTTGACTTCTTCTTGGGTAATAACTTGCATGACACATTGTCCATTGATATGATCTCCACCACATAGCTCACAAAGTTAATGTTGAACTTGAGAAACATTCTCCAATTCTTGAGGCAGTTGCGAGATTTTCTTCATCAGAGTCTCCAATTGTTGAGTCATTATTTTGTTCTGAGCTAACAGAGCATCTTGAGATTGTAATTGTAGAACTCCTTTCAGTTGAAATTGAGCTCTTTCATTATGCATCTCATTATCATTGACAGCCATATTTTCTATCAACTCATAAGCTTCATCTGGAGTCTTGTTCTTGATGTTACCTCCAGCTGAGGTATCCAACATCAATTTTGTCTGTGATTTCTCCCCAAAGAGTTATATTCTTTCTCTCGGCTACTCCATTAGACTCAGGTGAATATGGTGGGGTTACTTCATGGATAATACATTCTTTAACATTAAAGTCATTAAATGTACATATTTACCACCTCTATCTGATCTAATCCTCTTAATTTTCTTATTTAGTTGATTTTCTACTTTTGCTTTATAGGATAGAAACACAAAATGTTTCATCTTTATGTTTGATTAAATACACTTTAATGTATCTAGAATAATCATCTATAAAAGTTACAAAACAATTTTTATTGCCTCTAGACATAGTTTGTTTTAAATCAGCTAGATCAATATAAATTAGTCCTAACAATCCAGTTTGATAGGATAACATGTTTTTTTGGTTATTTTAGACTCTTCATATATATCACATTTACTACTCTTTTTATCATTCATATTAATTAAACTTAGTCATTGTAATTTCATAACATAGGAAGAATTCACATGTCCTAATCTAGCATGTCACATATCATATGAATCAACAATATAAACAAAAGAAGAATATTTATTAATATTCTCATAAATGTTGAGTACAAAGAGACCTTGATTACAATATTCCTTCCTCATAAAAACATTATTTTTTATCATTACAATCTTGTTAGACTCGAATGACAGTTTAACCCTCACTTTTCCTAGTAATGCTACAAAAATTAGATTAACTTTGATTGATGGCACATCACCCAAGGCTAGAGTCTTCCCAGATGTGAGCTTTAGAAGAACTTTCTTTTTTCCTAGAACATGAATGGTCTTGGAATCATCGAGGTAGACATGTTTTTCTCCATCCCCTACACTAGTGTAAGAGGTAAATGCATTTTTGTTTACACAAATATGCTTGGTAGCACCGAAGTCTACCGTCCATTTGCTCACATTATTCATCAAATTTACTTGAGAAATGACTGCAACAAAAATGTAATCTCTGTATTTGCCCTAGAAGGATTGTCGTTTCTTGCTCTACACCTATAGTGTGGTTCATGATGGCCCGACTTTTCCATACGAAGCAATTTCCTTTGTTCTTAGAGGTGTGGTTAGATCCGTTGGGACGAGATTTTGAAAATTATTTTTCCTACTGTGATTAATTTTGTGTTGGTACCTTTTTGGAGTAGGTATGTCTTCTACCATGTTTGCTTTTGTAGACAAGGCTTTGACCCTTGTAGTAACACACTCTTTTTTGTAGGTATCTTCAATAATTATGTGTGTGATAAGTTTCAAAAGTGACATATGCTTGTGTTTGTGTTTCAGTTGTTGCTTGTAATCAGTCTAGGTAGGTGACAATTTCTTGATCGTAAGTTCTGAAACAAATTCATTTGGTAGAAGAACGTTCTCTGCTTTGATATCTTCGAGCAGATTGTGGTAGTCATTGATTTTAGACTTTATGTCCTTATCTTCAATAATTTCCTAGCGATAGTAATTCTCAATAATGAACCTTTGTCTGACAACATCTTCAACAATATATTTGAGAATTAATGAATCCTAAATGTCTTTCGCCTCCATATAGGAACAATACACATTGAACAAATCATTAAAGAGTGCACTAAGTATAGTATGTTGGCATACCTTGTTTGCATGAATGAGTAAAGGAGGTTTCGTACATGTATAAAGGGGTTGACACAGCCAGTACCGGAAATTTTGACCAGAGAAGACTTCAATTTTTGAGACATCCAGGAACGGTTTCGCGAAGACCGTCTGAGTTTCGGAAGCAGTGTTCTGATTCTCCAGGATTGAGTTATTGATGTTAGTCAAAGTCCTTAAGATTGTTGTAATATGTTGACAATATTCATAAACAAAACTTCCTGAAGCGTGTAGATCATTATCCTTAATAAACATATCCGCGGTGTGTTGCGTAAGTCTCCTAGGATACAACATGAACTTCTTGAAAATCTCGAAGATACAAAACTAGTAAGTAATCTCTTGGAAGAGTAAGAAT